CGGGCCGCCGGCGAGGGGGTCCAGCCCCAGCCGGGGGCAGTGGGGACCACAGCATGGGCTCTGCGTGTGTGTGCTGGCATGGCAGTGAGCCACCGGTGCAGCGTCTCAGTGCACACACCACCGTGCTCACCCCCGAGGGAGGCTTGCACACACAGGTGTGCTCACTTGGAGGGGACCCCTCACCCCTGCAGAGCCCATCTCGGGGGGCTGCATGAGCCAGGGCACCACAGTGGCAGGCAGACTCGAGCCCTGCCACCGCCCCAAGCATCACCGTGGGGCATCAAACCATAGGCAGCACCGGGGACCCCCAGAGTGGCCCAGGTTGCCACTCCCAGCTGGGCTGAGCCAAGCAGCCAGCCGAGGTTTTGTAAGCAGCCATGCTGCCCGTTGTATAACTTGTTTACTGGTGCCCAGGGCAGGAGCGGGCAGGGAGCCTGTGGGGTGCAGCGTGCTGAGAGGATTTGCCTTGCATGCCAGTTTCCTTGCCCTGGGAAAGGGCTGCAAGCAGGGACCTGTCTCCATCCTGCCCCAGTGGCCACCCAGCCCCTGCACTGGCATTGCCTCAGGGTACCCAGGCCAGGTAGACATGGGATGCCTGACATGTGCCCTCCCCATCAACAGCCGGGAGGCAGCCCTGTGTTTGGGTGCTGAGGACATCCCAGGTCCTTGGCCTCCGTGGACCACCAGGTCTCTGCTGTGCCTATCGTGGAGAAAACCTGGTCTCACACGCAGTGTCACTCCAGGGATGGGATGGGGGCTGTCCCCAAGTCTTGGGGAGCCATCACCCCTGCTCACACCCACAGGTACAATGGCCCCAACCTGGTGCTCAAGTATGACAAGGCACGAGGGCGGCTGGTGAACGTGGCAGAGGACGAGCAGGACTCCCCATACTACGCACTGCGGGACCGGCAGGGCAATGCCATCGGCGTGACGGCCTGTGACATTGACGGGGATGGCCGTGAGGAGATCTACTTCCTCAACACCAACAACGCCTTCTCTGGTGAGCCCCGCTGGCGGCTGTGCCCCGAGAGCGGGGGGAGCTCCCGGCACGGCCGCCCGTGACCTTTGGTGTGTGAGGGATGTGTGCGAGCTGGAGTTAATTTCTCAGTTGAGTGGCTCCATTGATTGATGGCAGCGCGGGTGGGATGCCGAGCCCAGCCAGCCACCAAGTCAGCACTTCCAGCTGCCCACCGCCCTCCCGGCAGCACCCCGAGCAGAAAGGCAGCTTCCCCACCACCCCTGGGGCAGTTCTGCCACAGGGACCCTTTGCTGCAAATCCCAGCTGTGCCCTGCCCCTCCATGCTCCCCCATGCCATAGCTCCCCTGTGCCTGCTGGACCAAGCCAGGTCTAATCCTGCCCTGCCAGTGCTGGCCCCAGCTCTTGGGATGTCTGTTGTGAGGAGGAGACCGGTGTGCCCCAGCCCAGCACTGGGCATCTCCGGAGCTCAGTGGGTCGGTGCTTCAGCCCAGCTCTGCCCCATGTCCCTGTCCCACAACCCTGACCTCCAGGCAGCAGCTCTGTCTTCCTGACGCTCCTAATTACCCAGGCTGGCGGTGGCT